CATAGGTTGCCGACTCGGCGGCCGATGATAAAACGGCATCGGCCTGCGATTGGATGTGCGAAAGAAATGCGCACTCGGCGGCCGATAGCAGAATGGCCGCCTACGGGTACGACCAGTCCAGTCGTGTACCCCGTAAATTCGGGATACGAACCGACATGAAATCTCCAGTGGCAATCCAATTCTGAAAACGGCCCACTCTACATCCGTCTATGTGTTAGGACTTGTAAGCTCGACGCTGTTGGGACGTGGCATATTCTCAAGCGCAACGCGGGACGCCCTCCTGCCGACACGTCTGGCGGAGCGACAGGGGGGTAGAATAGGAGGGGGGGACGAAAAAGCCAGGCGAGAGGGGCAGGAACGAGAGGAGAGAGAGAGAGAGAGAGAGAGAGAGCAGGACCGAGAGAGGAGGAGGAGGAGGAGGAGGAGGAGGAGGAGGAGGAGGAGGAGCACCAGCAGCAGCAGGACGGGGAGGGCGGGAGGAGGCAGGAGCCAGAAAGGCAGGGGGGGGCAGGGCCGGGAGGCCCGAGGGAGGGGAGGCAGAGGGGGGCGGAGGAGGGACGAGGGGCGAGCAAGGAGTAAAAGGGACGAGGGACGAGGGGGACGAGGGACGAGGGGAGGGACGAGGAGGGAGGAGGGACGAGGGACAAAGAGAGGGGGGTGGAGGAGGGACGGGGGGCGGAGGAGGGCCGCGGGACGTGGGACGTGGGACGAGGAGAGGGAGGGGCCGACGAGTAGAACGAGGGCACCATCCCAGTACCCCCGAGGGGGAGCGCCATAGGGGGGGTACCAGCTCGGGGAGGAGGGGCACACCTGACAGATCGGCGATGGGCCCCTAGATAGCGAAACCACACGTTCCTGGGCGGGGTGGGCTATCATACCCTGATCGGCGATGACTGGGCCCTTGGGGGTCGCTGCATCCCCCTGAGCCCATCACCCCCGGATCGTTGCCCCTAGGAGGAGGAGGAGGAGGAGGAGGAGGAGGAGGAGGAGGAGGAGGGAGGACGAGGAGGAGAAGGCGGAGGGAGAGGAGGAGAGGAGGAGAGGAGGAGGAGGAGAGGAGAAGAGGAGGAGGAGGAGGAGGAGGGAAGGAAAAGGAGGGGGCGGAGAAGGAGGAGAGGAGGAGGAGGAGGAGGAAAGAGGAGGAGGAGGATGAGGAGGGAGAGAGGAGGAGGAGAGGAGGAGGGGAGGAGGAGGAGGAGGAGGAGGGAGGAGGAGGAGGAGAGGAGGAGGAGGAGGGCGGAGGAGGAGAAGGAGGAGGAGGAGGAGAGGGAGGAGGAGAGGAAGGAGGGAGGAGGAGGAGGAGGAGGAGGAGGAGGAGGAGGAGGAGGAGGAGGAGGAGGGAGGAGGAGGAGGAGGAGGAGGAGAGGAGGGAGGAGGAGGAGGAGGAAGAGGAGGAGTAGGAGGAGGCGGAGGAGGAAGATTTCGACGCCCTCTGGACCTGCCCCCCCCTCTCCCCTCCGGGGGCCGCGCGGGGGTCCATCTCGAGCTTTTCGTGGAGGTGGTCCGTGTGCTCCTCGAGGCCCTTCTGCAGGTGCTCGAAGAGGTTCTTCTCGGCTCCGTCCTGCTCTGTTTGCTGTCGCGCTGGGCGAGCTGCAACCAGCCTCGAACTCATCCCTATCCCTAAGATGGGCGGGCAAAAAGCAAGGGCAATGTTAGGGATGTGCCCTCAGAAACTGAGGGAATCCTCGAGATCGGCATCGAGGTGAGGTGATGCCAAACACAGTTCAAAATGGTAAAGCTGGGGGAAGAGAGCAAGAGGGGATTGGCAAACCTGCTCACAGAACTACTTCTCCTGGGGCGCCCCCTGGAACGGGCGGCGCCAAAAGGTAGATCGAGGAATACGCCTACAGCAAGGCCGGAACCAGCAGGGCCGAAACAAGCTGCATGCAGCAGATGTGGCACCCCCACCCTTTCAAAGGTATCATCATCATCATCTTGAACTTCAGCCGCAGTGGAAAACAGCAATCGAGGCAATGAGAGCCCGCGCTACCGACAGCCAATATCCCCTAGCTCCCCTGCCTCCAACCGGGTCATGGCGGCACGCAGCAAAAAAAGTGCTGGTGGCTGGTGGCGCGCAACAGCAAAACTGGCAGCCAGAGCCCCGGCGCGGCTCGGGGACCCAGAGGCGGTCCAGATGGGGCTGGAGGAGATGGGGTCAGAGGATCGCACTGCATCGTCGCTGCATCGGCGTCGTCGGGGTGGAGAACATCAGGCTCTGGAGCGAACCGCATCGCCGATGCATCGCCGATGCCGCGCGATCCTCCGGCCACATCCCCGGATATCTTCTTCTCAATGCTAGACGACGCCCCCGGAAGCTACCCCGTATTGCATGCGATTGGAAAAAGGTGAAGCACAGAGAGACTCAAGCGAGCGCAACGACAGCGAGAGAGCGGTGGAGAGCAGCAAAGCAGAGGCCTGGCAGCGGAGCGACAACGAAACGACAACACGGAAGCGGGGGGAGAAGAGGGGGTGGAGGGAAGCGAGAAAGGCGACGGCGAACAAGGCAGCGGCAGTGGCAACGGCCAGGACCAGAAAACAACTAGAGCGACTTGGCGCGGATCGAGGACCTGGCCTCCAGGAGCGCAAACTCGAGGCCCAGGGCCTCGGCTAAGAAGGAGGGTACTGGAGGCTCGAGGTAGCTTCCCCCGAGCACCAGGGGATGGCCGGTGTCCCCAGGGTCCCCAGGCGCACACTCACCGAGGGCCCACGTGCAGGCGGAGCAGTCCAGCAGGGCGCCGCCATGCAAAAACATGATTAGATGTTAGGGGTGTGGCGGTGGTGTGCACGCCGCCTTCCAGACGTCTACCCGTGCTGTCGCTGCTGGTCCACAAATATCCGACGTCGTCGTTTCACAGCGACGTGGACCCCAGGGGTCTGGACCACTTCCTTGGGGCCGGATTCTCATCCCGAACCGTCTCTCGACGGTCAGTGGGCCCAGCGAGCGCCCCCAGAGGCCGAAGAGGAAGCAGCCCGTCGTGATCTTCAAACACGCGCGAGAGGGTCTGGGCCTGCTGGCATGCCGCGCGGGTGCGACTCGGGGAGAGGCTGCACTGGGCGGGCGCCAGGAGTGATGGGCCTGTTTTCCACCACCATCACCATGAGTTGGAGGGGGGAGGGGGTCCTCCCCGTCTTCTCTCCTCCTCCTCCTCATCCTCCGCCTCCTTCCCCCCTCCAACTTATGGTGGTGGTGGTGGTGGAAAACAGGCCCATCAAGGAGGGGGGCCCCCCCATGGGGGGCCGGAGTTCTGAGCGGGCATCTGGCTGGGCGAGCGGGCGAGGGGGGCGGGAGGGCCAGGCTCCCAGGGAAGATAAGAGAGAGGGGGGCCTCCAAGGCCTCCTCCTCCTCCCTCCGCCTCCTCCTCCTCCCTCCGCCTCCTCCATCCTCCTACTCTCCTCCCACCTCCTCCTCCCACCACCTCCCCCTCCTCCTCCACCTCCTCCTCCTCCTCCTCCTCCTCCTCCTCCTCCTCCTCCTCCTCCTCCTCCTCCCCCAAAGGGGGAATCGAGAGGCTTCCAAGACAGCCTCTTGCAGTCGAGCTACTACCAGGAAGAACACCACACCGTTGGCCCCAAAGCGGCTGGGTATACGAGGGGCGCCGGAGGAGCAGCCGCGCGAGATTCCCAGCGAGCCCCCTCCGAACCCGAACTGAGTCATGCTTCAGCGTCGTGACTGCAGGAGGGCAGGAGGGCATTTCTACGAAGCCCCCGCCCTCCTTGGCATGTTGAACATCCCGTCCTCTCCGCGTGCTGCGCGTTCGTCGCGCGACACTGAGTCTCAGTCGCATCGCTCGTCGAGATTAGGGGGGCTTCGGGATCGCATAGCAACTAGTACACCTTCGTCATCGATCACACTCGCTCGCTCCCGCGCCGAGGTCTAGAAGTGCGGCCGCGAATGGCAAGGAATGGAGCGCCCCCCCGCCCCCTCTTCCCTCCTCCTGTTCCTCCTCCTCCTCCTCCGCCTCCTCCTCCTCCGTCGTCCTCCTCCTCCGTCGTCATCCTCCTCCTCCTCATCATCATCCGCCGCCCCACGACGACGACGACGACGACGACGACGACGACGACGACGAAGACGACGACGACGACGACGACGACTACGACGGCGGCGGCGACGGCGACGACGACGACGACGAAGACGACCGACATGGACCGACGACGACGACGACGACGAAGACGACCGACATGGACCGACGACGACGACGACGACGACGACGACGACCGACGACGACCGCGGGCGCCGAGCAGGGAGACGCCTGCTCGCGGGTGAACCCCGAACCTTGCGAAAATCGGGCCGCCCGCTGGAGGCCACAGGGGGGCCCCCCCCTGTTTGGACGCCCGAAATGGGTACGGAAAAAATGGGCACAATGCCCAACAACAAATGTTGTCCCAAACCAACAGCGGCCGCTCTTGGGCAGGCGGCCTTCTGTCTCGAATGGACACAGGCCGCGGCGGCGTGAGCAGCGAATCCTGTTCAAAATGAACAGGAACTGCTCTTGAGCATTGTACCCATCCTTTCCGTACCCATTTCGGGCGCCCAGACCCTGTGCCCCTTGACGATGCCTGGTTGGATGCAGGGCCGGGCGGTGGGACGCTGGGACGGCCACGCGGGAAGCAAGGACAGCGGCACCGGGCCAGCATCTCCAGGGTCCGCGGCCGAAGGCTTGCCCGCGAGGCAGGGACGCGAGGACGGCCTCGGTGCCGCACGGGGCCGTTGGCATGGGACTCGGCTGCACGTGCTCTGCGGGCCCTCCACCTCCTCGCCTGCCCTCGGCGGCGAGAGGAGGGGGGCAAGTGAGAAGGGGCGGGCCTTCTCAGAAGGCTCGGAAGTCCCCCAGCCTTCTGAGATGTTTCCTGAGCCTTCCCCGAGGGCTTCCGAGAAGTTCCGCCGCCTTCTGAGAAGGCCTTCTCCTTCTCATGTTCCCCCCTCGCTCACCGCCGATGACCGCTTCCAATGAGCCTCCCCTGCAGCATCCTCGTCGAGGTAGTACCCGAACACGTAGCTC